AATGTGAGCTGATTCTTGAGCTCTTGGCTCCTCAGCTCCAGGCTTACCCTCCCCCTCCCTTCTTCCCCTCTCTCTCCCTTTCCCCTTCCCCCTCTCCCTCCCTCTCAGCCCGTTGTAGCCCAGTCATAAGTTTATTCCCTCTAACTCATATTGTTGCTTTTTAGTTTAAAGCATGTTTTGTTTTCTTAAGAATTCCTTATATAATACTTAGAGCTTTTCAGATAAAAACCTCAATAAGTGATTGCTGTGTCAAAAAGGTAGTGAAGGTAATTAAAGAGATACGAGTTTATTTTCTTTCCATGTGAAGATTAAATTATCCAGGTCCTGCATTTTAGACAGGCACTTTTGATTCCCTGCATTTTGCTATGAAGCAAAAATACAAGAGTGATGATATATTTTAAGCCACAGTGCTGCAGTGGCATTCTTGTAAGTCAGGGATCAGGAGGGGATGGATGGAGCAGGAGGACAGAACCGGGCGCCGGACACTAACTTCTCTGTCAGTTCAGATAAATTGCACAGTGCTGGTCCCAGATCTCGAATCTTCAAAGCTGGAGGGTCAGATTACATTTTATACGCAGAAAGTCAGATTCAAAAGACTCACAGAAGATAATATAGTCTTAACTCAGAGACACTTAAAAACGTCCTTTTGATATTTACGTGCTTTATTTCCACAGGCGCTTTCCTCTGCCAGTCCTCTCATAGGTCAGGGTTTTAAACCTGTGAGCTTCATCGTTCCTGCCACAAAGCCGGCCTGGTTTCTAGCTGGGATCCCACACTGGCTGCTTCATCGTCCTCCTACGGACTCTTCAGCCGGCCAGGGGCAGTTCATGATCTACATCTAACTAGAGTGGTCGCGTGTGTGCATCCCTGCAAGGGGCTCTTCTGTCTAGAGCCCTGTCGTGGGGCATTTGTGACAGCTCGCCGGACAGTGTGTCTTGCAGTTTATTCCCTCATGGATAAGTCTGTTGCAAGCTTTCTCAATCACAGCAGGGTTTGCTGGTACGAGTCCATGTTTAACTAGAGGCATCTGGTGCCTTTGCTGCTGTTTACTGAAACCTTTCATTTCACTTCATAAAGTTGGCCCAGTTTGGCTGTTCTTCCTCAGGTTGACTCCCAGCCTTCTCCAGTACAAACTGAACATTATTTTGTGGTCGAAAGGTCTTCTGTGGGAGGCCCCTTTTGTTCGTTTTGACTGATTCAGATTTTCAGTCTAAACTCTGGCCTATTTCCTTCTCTTTCAATCCTTGACTATCTTAATGGGATTTGAGCATTTTGGTCAATCCTTTTTCAGAGAATCGTTAGGCATTTCCCAGAATACTTGCTCAAGGAGAATTATACCACTTCTAGCCAACAGAACACAGTCAGGAGGTCTGCCTGGGAACCCTCATTGGGCAGGGGTGTTCAGAGGAAGGAGCCTGAAAAGAGCTGTGGGAGCTAGATTCAGGAGTCAGTGAGTGCATTAGGGACTGTCTCTCTCCTGGTTCCCTGGGCCTGGGCACGAGTGTGATAGACAGCCCTGTGGAGGTGGATGGGCTTAGCAGGACCCACCAACGAGCCTTTTAGTCTGTACTATTCTCTTCTGCTCGGGTCACAGTCAGGCACTGATTTCTGGGTTGAGCTGATTTCTGGGCAGGGACAGGTCCACAGTGGTCTGTGTCTCTCTTTTCATGTCTCTGCATCCCTTTGTTTCCACAGCTCCCTCTTGCTTCTCTCTAGCTCCAACTTGTCACCCTCATTAGGGAAATGGCTTGTTTTCTTTTTCATTCCATTGCTTCCCCTCTTCATTTGAATATTTTGGAAATCTGTCGGAGGTGACTATGGCAGATGGAGTTGAGGGCTGTAAGGGGAAGAAAAAATTAAGGGAGTAAATAAGTGTCAAGGAATTCATTGTCTGCTCTCCACCTGTTGTTATTCTGGTCCCAATCAACCTGCTCGCCAGGCTGGAGCCAGCGGCCATCTGGAAACACTGCTCTGTTTATAAACTTGGCATGAAGCAGCACTCCCGGGCCCTGACCTCCCACACAAATCTGGAAACAATTAGAGCAAGATGATAGGCAGGCAGGGAACGCTCCAGGGAGGGAGGAAAAGGAGGAGGAGGAGGAGAGGAGCCTTGGGGGGAAGGGAGGGGGCAGTCAGTGCAGGGGGCGGCGAGCCCGTCTAGGTAGAGTCTGTGTGGGAGCCGGGTGGGGGGAACACCCCGGTCCTGGGATGTGAGAAGCCAGGGTCCTGGTGGCAGGTCTGGGTGGGGGGAGGGGGCCCGGGAGTAGGGAAGCCAAGTGTGGAGGGAGTTGGGAGTTGAGTGGCCCAGGGTCAGGTGAGGGAGCCAGAGATCTGGAGCGGGGAGTGGAGTACAGAGAGAAGTGAGGGTTGGGGGGCCCAGGGAGGCCTGAGTCTGGGTGGGAGCTGCGGGTCTGGGAAGAACTCAGGGAGGCCTGAATCTGAATGGGGTCTGGGTGGGAGCAGGGGCGGAGGTGTAAGTCTGGGGTCAGTTGGGGGCAATGGGGGTCCTGGTGGGAACTGGGAGTAGTCAGCTCCTCTGGGGTTTGAGGACCAGGAGAGGGGCCCCAGCTGTTTGCTTAAGATGGTGTGATTGCAGGCACATGTGTGCCCTGTAGCCTCAGCCTCATACATGACCTCCTTCTAGTTTCCGGGGACCTCTTAAGAAACAAAACAGGCTAGGGAGGCAAAGAAAATACCGCTGTCTGCCCTTCACTGTGAGCAGACACGGTGAGTAAAATCGTTTTGGTCCCCGTAGGAAAAACACTGTATAGTCTCAAGTCACTGTTTTAGTTTCAGAAACACATTCTTGAAGACCGCTTTTTAACCAAAGGAAGTTTAAGCAATGTCCCATTTTGCTACAGAAAAACTAAGAATGCTTGAACTATAGTAGGACATTTCTTTAAAAGGGACAACACTTGCAGATCGGTACATTGGATTCTGTGTTGACCAATGTCATGCGTGTGTGTTTCGGGAGCTGATTCAGGCTTCCAGAGTCTTGAGTATTAGCAAGATGAATGAGTCTCTTCCTCTTCACTTAAGAAACCCTTTTTCCCTCTCTTTTCCCTGCAGTTTTGAAACGTGATTCCAAACTCTAAGTTGATGCTCTTTTCACGCTCAGCTGGGTTTCTAACTCCTGAAATATTAATCTGTGGGAGTTGTTGGCAAACCAATAATTGGCACCAATTAACAAGCTCCTGGTTGGCCAAATGATACTTAAGAGGGAAGTTTACTGTGCTGGTCTTCTTGGCTCCTGAGGGCTCAGGCAGAGCAGCCTGGGACCAGCAACAGTGGCCTCTCCCCTGGCCTCTTGTCCTGCTTCTGAAGCAGATTCCCCTGATCTCAGACTGGAACATTGGCCCCAAGTGCATTTGCTTAGATCTCTAAAAATTAATCCATCAAGAGTGGTGTCAGCAGCCAACCCCAATCCTAGAGCTCGTTCCACGTGCAGTTCCACTGACTGGGTCTCCCCCATGCCTTGTTCTCCATTCCCATGCATTTTTATTTTTGTCTAAACATATTCTTTCACGCTCACTGCTTCTGATACACTGGTTGCTAAAATCCAGCAGAAGAATGTTTAGGACTACAGAATATGCAACATACAGCGATGTGAAAAAATAATCCAGCAAGATCTATAAGGTACTCAGCACAGTCCAGGGAACAGACCTGGGCTGGGCTTGTCACTTCCTGTGGCTGCTGCTGCCCAGTGGCTGCCCCTCAGAGCAGAGCTCATGAATGTCCCTGGAGATATGCAATCTGGGAAGTTAATTTCAGACTCTGAGTCTTGTTGCAAATGGATTCATTTGAACTATAATATAAAATATTGTGTTTATTTAACCCCTGTAAGCTGAGCTCCTTTGTCTTTTGTGAACTGGCAGGGCAGCTAAGGACCCACATTCCTTCCACAGTTAATAAAACTTCATATTTTTCTCTGTATTCATAAATTTAATTACACTCAGACCCATTTAATCTACATCAGTTTTTCAAACTTTACCTAGATTAAAAAAACACAGTCCCCCCCAACATGGAACACAGTCATAAATTTTAGATTAAAAGACATAAATTGAAAATTCATTTTGCCAATTTTGTCTTCAAGAAATCATCTTGTATCTTTTCAAGTTTCAGACCTGGAAAGTAGAGATGTAAATTGACTTGGCTACAGTTCTTCCCAAGATAGAAGATTTGTACTTTAAAGCCTATATTTCTTCAAACTTATTAAAACAAAACAAGAAGTACGAAAAAAAGAAATCCAAAAGAACAAGCCAGGTCTCATTTACTTCATGCAAGACTGTTTGTAAATTTTTAAAAACACTTGGCATGTACTTGGATTGATACATATTCTCAGAAACTAAAGAAGGTGAGCTGCCTGGGTGGTGCCCCGACGCTGGTGAATCTTGGTACACGGTGATCAATAGTGCCTTCTTCTGCTTCCTTGGCCCCTCCCAGGGGGGTTTTTGAAAATTAATGACATTTCCATAAAGTGTTTTGCTCTTTTTGAGAGAAATAAGTACAATTTATCAGCACCCAGTTATTGCTTGTGTCTCCAGGCCCCCACCTTAGAGATCAGAGCATGACCATCTAGCTAACGGCTGAAACCCTTCCACCCTGCTTTGTCCTTTTCTTGAATCTTCTTTAAACAACATCTTCCTGCTTGTAATTAAGAACACCAAGACCCCCACTTAATTAGAACACTTATCTTCCTTTTCAAAGCTTGGTGTTTTTCTTCTTCCCTATCTGCTGTCTTTAGAGAGCTCTTATAATTCCCTCTCTGGACAGACAACCACTCCTTCTGTTCATATCTTTTTGCCACCATTTTGCTTTGCCTTAATTTGATTTGTAAGATAGCAATCTTTCTTCCCACCAAAAGGAAAAAAGAGTTAAAAACCAAAACAAAATGAAACCTGGATTTTTTCTAGAAAATTATTTTTTTTTCTATTTAATTGTTTCTTGAAATCTCATGCTATAATCTTATAATAACACTTTACTCAAATGTTTGGCCCAAGGAAGACTTTGAGAATGAGAGAATCTGCAGCTTTTTCATCTGGAAGTCAGCTAGTATTCAACCGTTTGATGAATGAAAGAGTGATGACTGTTGGTTTTCCTCTTCTATGTCTGTGGAATGGACCTGCAGGGAGAAGTAGCTCTGGAGTATTCTCTCTTTCCAAAAATACTAGGTGAGTAGTGTGTATTAAAACTCTAAAAATTGTGACCAAGCTTCCATCTAAACGCTGGACAACATTCTTGCCCCAATGTTGTTTTTCTGGTATCGTTGGAGAGTCAGTGACATTTCCAACCTCATGATGTGTTTTGTGTGTGGACTCTATTGGCTGTTTAACTATGAGACCATTAAACGGAGATGACTTATAAGGCAGATGGGTGATAAGTCATGTATTGATTAACTCTCTGTTTCAGAGGGCTGACTTGTTGCTCCTGGACTTCCACAGGATGTAGAGTTGTTCTCCCCTTAGCTGTGACATGAAGACAGTGACCAGTGTTCTGATCTGATGGAATGGTCATTTCTTGGGTCATCTGGCCATGTTGGTCATCTAACCCACTTAAAACTTGCATGTGATAATTGGAAAACTCCAGAGGTGTTTTTGTGAGGATGGTTAGGGCTTGACTGACATTGAGTTTCAGGGCACACTTCCAGAGCCTGACATGACACTGTTAGTTATTACAGGAAATGCTCAATAGATGTGGAGTGCCATAGTAGAGCTATGTAGAAAATGCTGACAGAATTATTTGTGTGTCTCTTTGTTTGTCTGCTCTTCTATATAATGCATTTCATGTCTCCCTTATTTGCCACTATATATCCTGTTCCTAGCACGTTGCCTGATGAGTAGTAGGCATTCAGTAAATACATGCTCAATGAACGAATGGTGAGGGACATTTTTCGCTTTGAGGTAATGGGGAATATTTTACAGCAAAAATGGCAGAGAAAGCCCAAGACTGTCCTTAAGGGATGGCACATTCAAACAATATTCTTTCCATCTCCTGTCCCTCCCCACTAAAGAGGCTTTGCCACTTAGACATATTTATCTGTTGTTAGAAGCAGTATTAGTACTATTACTAGCAGTGGTAACAGGAGTAGGAGCTTTGTAATGGGGACAAATTTTCCAGATTTATTGTCACATCTTACTCATCTTTTTGTCTTACAGGCTTTACAACCATAGGAGGCACTGGCTTTTGGTTTTATGGGAAGAGCAGACACCTCTTGAATGACAAAGACATTTCTCATTTTTGACAGTCCAATTCAATTTTTGTTTGACAACTTAATATGCTTGAAAGCAAAGCTTTTCAGAGAGAGAGAGAGAGAGAACATATTTTCTAAATCTATCAAGGATAGATAGTTCAGAGCTAGCGTACTGTCCACAGCATAAAGAACATCATGGTGTTGCTGTTCCAAGGAAAGAGAGAGATTCGATCAAGAGGTAAGAAAGCCTGAAGCTCCACCTCTTATTGGCATTGAGGGTTTATGGGAAGAAGGGAGAGAGGTTAAAGGGTCACACATGATGGCTCTTTCTAAGAGCTTGGGGCCTCCCTCAAGGTAATTAGAGACATTCAGATTAGTGCAGGGAACCTGAAGAACATGGGTGCTAGAGGCACGCTCCCTTCTCATGATAGGAGGGCTACAGCTGGTAGGAGAACTGGTGCAGCCACCTCAGTGTCTACAGGGACATGGGATGCTGCAAACACCCTCTACTCTGCCTTGTTGAAAACTTGAGAAAGAGGAGTGGGCAAAATCAGAAAGACTGCACCTTCCACTAGTGAGCCTGAGCCATCCAAATGGGCACATTTTAGATAGCCCTGAGGGACACTTAGGTCAGCTGAGGTGAGATTGTGAGGAAGTCTGAGCCTCGCAATTACTCCGTCCATACGTTTGCCTATTCACTGTTTTGTCCTTAGCACCTACCTCTTTGCAGCAGAGTGAGTAATATGGTCTCTGGACTCTGCAGGGCAGAACATGTGCCCCAGCCCTTAGCACAGCTCCTAGCATACAGCAACTGCTTAACTAACGATGGCAACTTCTACTACTCATGTAGAAATGCTTAATCATCTTTGTTGAAATGAGAATGTCCCTATCTAGTCCAGAAATTCTCTTAATCTGGTTACCTATTCAGGATTGCCCAGAAATACTGGATTGCACAGCAGACTCAAAGCATCCTTGCTTACTGGGTATATGCATGCGTATATATTCCTATTCTATTCTTCCTATCTCTCTTTTATCAGGCCAATAATTCTTTAAATTTTTAGTGTTTGAACTTCTGGAGTTTGGTGGGGTGGCTACTGTGCTACTTCTGTTTTTGCTATTCAACTTTTGCTTCTAAACTATACAAATTTTTCCAGTGTACCCTCTCCTGCTGCTCTCACTTTGCTCTTCTTTTCTCTTTCAAGTCCTGGGTTTTTCGTTTGTTTGTTTGCTTTTACCTTCCCCTCCTTGCTCCCTACAAAGCCACCCCAAGTAATGATCAGGGCCATTCCTTATTTCAGGGCTTCTACTCAGAGTCACATCTCATCTCACATGCAATGGTCTTGCCACAGTCATTCTGGGAGATGGATCACGAAAAATGGCTCCATTATCCATCCCTTCCTGCAAAGATATCTACACCATTTGCAATGTGATTTTGTTGTTTTCCCATTAAGAGGCTGCTGTATTTCCCCACTCATTGAGTCTGGTCTGTCTAGTGATTTGCTTTGGCCAGTAGAATGTGGTAGAATGTTCCAGTTCCAAGTCTAGCCCTCAAGGGATCTTTCATGCATCCTCTCTTTATCTTGGAACCCTGCCACTGCTATGAGAAAAAGTCCAGACTGACCCATTGGAATGAGAGGCTATGTGGAGCTGAGTGAGCCATCCTTGCCCAGTTGACCCTCAGCTGACCTGCACTAATAACAGAATCATGAGTGAGCCCAGATTAAATCAGCTCAGCCATGCCCCTCTCAGCAGAGTTTCCTGGCCAATCCATAGTCTCCATGAGAAAAAATGAATCATTGCTGTTTTAAACCATGAAGTTTTTGGGTGTTTTGTTAAGCAGCAATAACTAACTGATCTAGTCAATAACCATCTTTTGTTGCTAAATCTAAAGGATCTTTTTTTCAGTTCTTGTAGCAGAGATTTATAAAGGCTAACCAAAATCTATGTCCTTTTTCATCACAAACACACAGCTAGACTATATTTTCTCACCTCTGTGTGACCATGTGATTGAGTTCTGGCTAATGGAATATGTGCAGAAGTGATGTGCATCACTTTCAAGTCTGGCTCGTAAATAGCTCCCTCTTGTAATCCTTTTCCCATCATGTGGCAGAATGGAGAGAACGTGAGGAGGTCAGAACTGGGGTATGGAAGAGCATGGGTTCCTGAATGACTGTTTGGGAGACTGCTACTCACAAGGAGAATCTACAGTGGACTTTGTGTGAGTGAGAAACTAACTTTTGCTGTGTCAAGTTACTGAAATTGTGGGGTTCGTGATAGCAGCTGGAGCTGTTTGCCTTCTTCACTACTCTCCTCTTACTTGACCTCTCTGTGGCCTTGGGCAGTGCTGACCCCTCTCTCCTGTATGACATCCTCTTCCCTTGCTGTCCTTGATCCTATACTCTGTAGTTTTCCCACACATGTATCAATAGTTCCCCATGACTTCCAAGAAGTTCAAGTCCAGAATTCTTGGCATGCCTTTGCTAAAGTCTTTGTTTAACTCTTCATTCTTCTCCCTCACCACCATAGCTTCAAACTCCATGCATTTACATAAACACATCATGCTCTCATTTACTCTGAGGTTTTACATTTGTTATTCCCTCTGCTGAAAAGCTCTGCCCACTTTTTGCCCTGCTAATTTTGCCACCACTTCAGATCTGATGTATCACCAGTTCCAAGAACCCCAGACCCTAAGTTTTGGGGAAGAGCCTCCCATGGGCTCTAAGGGAAGTTGTGTTTGCCTCAATCATAGGACTTGCTGTTGTAGCACTGCTCCATCTCTTTACCAGCTGACTCCAAAGTCTGATGTTCCAGCCTACTGTGCTCACTCCTGAATCCCAAATGCATAGTCGAGTGCCTGTCACTTAGTCATGCTAATAACCATTTGGTGAGTGCATAAGTGAATAAGTTTGTAGGACTGGGGAAACAAGAGTGCCTGAAATCTAGGAATTAGACTCCAGGTTTGATAACAGGTAATGCATGAGGAAGTCAACCAGAAAAATGATGTTACTTAATCTTCCTTGGAGATTATCTGTACTTGGTCCCTCTGAAAATTACTAGACTGTTTATGAGGAAGGGTATAGAACAGCCTTCTTTCAAATGGTGTTTCCTTCTATTATCATTGGTGGTGAAAATGGGATTTATTTCACATATTACAATGCAGAATTTGGTGTTGTTTATATGTGAACATAACTACTCTGTAAAACCTCAAGCATTTTTCTCTATTAGAATTGGCAGATGAGAGATTATATAAACTTGTGGCCAACTGAGAGGTTCCCAAAACATTGCTCTTGAATTAGAGGGAACAGAGGGCATGCCCTGGGTGTCCGAATCCCTTCTTCGGGCTGATGCAGACTTATGTTTGCATCTGTTCTTTATTACGGTGCTGCTCTGCTCTTTAACCACAAGGAGAACTCGGACACTGGAAGGTTAGGTGTGCTGCCCAAGGCCCCATGGCAACTTGGATTTGAGATCATATCTGAAAGCAGATGTAAGTATCACTCCCTAGGAGCCCACATGGACTCCTTGTGCTCCTGGACATGGAAACAAATCATGAAGAGCCTCTGTCAATGCATCATGATAAATCAGGTGAAGATGATGATGTATCCCGTGAGGTTGCCTGTGGAGGAGGATTTCTGGGACACTGTTGGCAAGTGGTCACCGCTGGACTCCACAGAGGGGAGGACTATCCCGGCACATACTTTTGTTGCCACGCTAGTGGTGTGTGAGCCTGTCCCACATGTGCTCTGCCAGCCCTGATTTCTGAACCCATGAGGAGTGTACAGGGGACCAAGGGAAGGGTCCAGGTGTCCTGCTTTTATCTTTCCATGGCTCATGATAATGAGAGCAGCTAAGATGACTGAGTGCTTCATATGTTTCCAGCTCTTCACCTCATTTAATTCTCCAATGGCACCACTATGGGACTGCTATAGGTTACTCTCAGCTCTCAGGCAAGAAAACTGAGGCACAGAGGGCTCCTGGACTGGCCCCCAAAGCACATGCCCTCCCACTCCTTTCAGGGCACTCTGTGCACTTAACCAGGGGTTGATCCCCAAGGAGAGGCTGTGCCTAGGGCTCCTTCCCTCAGGGCTCCAGGAGTCCTGTCTACAGAAATCTTCCTCTTTAATTTTCCTTTCCTGGGCCCTGTCTCCCACTCTCTGACTATTTAAGCTTACTTTAGAAGAACTATTTCTTATACCCTGAAATGAGGGCATGTAAATTTGAATATGCATGGAAGAATGGTGAAATGAATATATTTAGAGTAAACAAAGCATCCTCATAATCTCAAAACATGTGTGCTTGTATTTGTAGATTGTCTTACACACCTAAATTCTTTGCCATGTATTTTTGTGTTAATTTGAATGTGTTGCTCACAGGCAGCAAAGGCTGACTGAAGTGGGATGTAAGCAGGAAAAGACTCCCCTCCAAATGACATCCATCTCATTATGGTGAGTGCGTGACCCTCTCATGACTCCATCCTTCCACACACTGCTGTGCAGTACTCACCCCCACGCATCCTGTTTAGAATCAGCTTAGATCCTGCAGAATTTTCCTTCTATTTTTCAGCAACAAAATATGAGGCAAAGGCCAAGAACTGCCGATCTGTCTACAATGTTTGAAAGAGCCCCGGAGCTGCTATTTTGTAGAGCAGAGAGGAAGTGCTGCCTGGCCCTTTGGAGCTCCCTGCAGCCTCTGGGCTGTTAGTCAGCAGCCTCCTCCCACCCCACGAAGCCTACCTCCTGGCCTGTGTCTGGCATAGGTTCCCTGAGGCTCTTTCCATCTGCGTTGTCCGTTCTGCATTCTGTCTCCATGGTGAGTGTACAGGTGGCAGAGTCAAGGGAAGTGGGACTGAGAAACAGCCATGACTCACCCAGGGAACCTCGGAGAGCTAAGGCACCCCGTCTCCTCCACCTGCCTAATTGAGTGGTAGTCACCAAGATTGCATAACCAGCACCATTACAGCCTGTGAAAGCCTGGATGAACAAGTTGCAGTTAAACACTTAAAAACAACCTTTGCTTGCTGACTAGTATATTTGCACTCACAATGAGCTTCAGTGCTCTCTCAGAGCCATCTCACTTGTTGCTATCATTGAGCTAAAGTTTGAGATTTATGTGTTGAGTAGGCTGATCTCTGCCTGCCTGGAGCTCATATTCTTATGGGGGAGATGTGCAATCAGCATAATCAATGTTTCATATTATGTTAAAAATGACCAGAGCTTAGGAAATAAAGCATAAAGAGGGGATGGGGAGCTGAAAGGATGACTACAATTTAAATAGGGCAGCCAGGGTGACTTCTGTGGAAATGACATTGGAGAAATGAGTGGAAAGAGGTGCAGAGTGCATATCTCTGAGGGCAAAGTGTTCTAGAAAAAGGAAACAACGTGTGCAAAGGACCTGAAGTGAGCAGATGCCTGGGGAAGTTAGGGTGCCCAATCTATTCAGTAGGGCACTTGTTTTAAGACTGTAGTGAACCATATCATTTCTCTAATGCATTGCTGTAGTGGCCCCTGATGTCACTGAGAGTGAAAGCAAAAGTTTACGGTGGTCCCCTCTACACTCTGACTCCACTGCCCCCCTACGGTGATGACCCTGTCAGCTGTGTTGAGAGTGGACTGTGGGGAGCAAATGTGGAAGGGGAAGGCCATTGAGAAGCTGTATCACAAATTCTTCCACACAGTGACTTACAGCAGCACCTGTCATTTCATGATTCTGGGGTCAGTAGTGTGAGCTAGCCCGAGCAGGGTAGTCCTGCTGCTTCGGACTGGGATCCCTTGTGCATCTGGGCTCCAACAACACCTCTCAGGGAGGCCTGGCCAGCCAGGCAGCTCTGCTCCTGCAGTGTGGCTGGCTGCTGGCTGGGGAAACAGGGAGACCGAGCTTGAACCTCTCATCTCCCAGCAGGACAGCCCAGGCAGCTATTCACAGGGTGGCTCAGGGGTCCCCAAGCACCATGAGGGTGAACCTCAAGGAGAAATGCTTTCCAAGTTTTGGCTTGCTTTTCAAGTCTCTACGCTGGCTGTTGGTCACAGCTCGGAGCCTTTGTGGGAGAGCAAGGAGTGCAGCTACAAGGAGGCCTGGACATGTTGGGCTGTTACTCAGTCAGCCACAGATCAGTCACTGCGATGGTCTAAGGGGACACATTGGTATTGTGCACTAGGGAATATCATTAGAGATGGTGAGAAGTAGTTGAATTATGACTATTTTCTGAAGATGTAGTCAGTAGGATTTGTTGATGGAATGGACACGGAATGTGAGAAAAAGAGAAATTAAGGGTGACTGAGATTTTGGGCTTGAGCTGCTGGGATGGAGTTGCCATGACCACGATGAGAAAGCTGGAAGTGGAGCCGTCTTGGGAAGGAGCAAGGGCTCCCTTTCCAAAAAGCTGTTTGAGATGTCAGACATCCAGGTGAAATGTTGAGTGGGTAATTGGATTTATGGATGTGGACTTCGGTGGGGAGTTTTGGACTGGAGATACAAATTTCACTATGAAATATTTTTAAAGACGTATAGACTGGCTGGATTGGAAAGAACCACAAAAGTGTGCAGCCTAACTCTGGTAAGTATTTATCCTGACTTTACTTAGATGTCTCCAACGAATCATCAATTTAACTATCTTCAATTGACAAATCATTGAGCATCTATTATATACAATATGCCACAGCAGCTCAAAAACTATGTAACTTTAATATAACTCTTCTGTCAATAAGAATAAATTTACCTGAAAACAAAAAGTATCTTAACAATTTCAATAATGTGGCAAGTTTCTATATCATATACATATAGATATACATTCACAAATGCAAATATGCACACTTGAGAGCTGACTGCTGTATCCTTGCTTAACAGCCCAGTAAGTTGGGCATGAAAGGGACAACCAGTCACAGTTTACAGAAGGGCTTGGAACAAGGAAGCAGTGCTTAGGACTCAGTGGAGTGGACTGGCCTGGGTCTTCTGACCTACACTTGGATGCTCTTGACTGATTAAAAACTAATCAGGACTATCTCACCACGAAAGAGAGGCCAGCTCCCTCCATAGGAAGGTGGGCCACAAAGTGTACATGAATTCTGGATCAAAATTTTTCCCCAAAGAATTTATTTCTAAACTTTTAAGATAATTATAGATCCACATGTAGTTGTAAGATATAATACAGACTGATCCCGTGTACCTTTTACACAGCTTCCTCCAGTGGTAACATCTTGTAAAAGTATAGTACAAGATTAGTATATCACAACCTAAATATTGAATTGTATACTCTACTGACTTTATTCAGATTTTACCAGTTTTACATTCGTGTGTGTGTGTGTGAATTTACCTTTATGAAATTGTGTCACTTGTGGCAATTAGTATGAGCACAAAAACTGTCAAGACTCAGAACACTTTTACCACAAGGATCCTTATGCTTCTTTTTAGGGTCACCTCCCCCTCCCCCTGCTATCCCTAACCCCTGGCAGCCACTAATCTCTTTTCCATCTCTATAATTTTATCATTTTGAGATAGTTATATAAATGAAGTTGTACAATATGTATGAGATTTTTTTTTTCACTCAGCATAATTCCCTTGAGCTCTATTCAAGTTGTTGTGTGTATCAATAGTTCATTCCTCTATATTGCTGAGTAGTATTCCACGGTATGGATATACCACTATTTGTTTAACCACTCATCTGTTGAAGGACATCTCACTTGCTTCCTGTTTTTGGCTATTACAAATAAAGTTTCTATAAGAATTCATCTACAAGTTTTTGTGTGAACATAAGTTTTCAAGAATTAAAGCAAGAAATCTTTTCAAATTCTTGAATAAGCAGTCAGCCAGGACCCCAGGACACCATGGAAAGGAATGTGGAAGTGAGGATTTACCTCAAAAATTGTCTGGATGGGGATTACCCAGTTGTCAATCCCAACCATTAAAGTAACGCTCAGAATGGCTCACATGGAACGTGTGACTTTGAGCAGCTGTACCTCCTGTTTCCTTCCCAGAGAAGTCAATTGCAGACAGTTCCCGGCCTGCTACTCCCGGAACTGACTTGATGAAGGAAGCTATTGAATACTGTCCATTTAGATGTTGGCGAATGCCTGCCAAAGATTATTTTAGCTTTGCTGTGGTCAATTTTCTTTCTGACTGCACTGAGCTGACACTGTGTCTTCAGAATGCCTTTAGTGTATAACAGAAGTATGTTATCCCCTAAGAAAATACTTCCTATCTTTCTTATGGCTCAGACAGGATGAAATGTATTAATTTCAAAATTTTAACTGATTACGTTGAAAATGTAAAAGGTTAGAGATGAGGATTTTTGGATCCTACTATATTTGTAACAAAGTCTTATTATCTTACAGTGATATGTGATACAAAGCATCCTTTTCTTCTCTGACTATGACATTCAAAGGAGATGGTCTTCATTGTTTCTCAGACCTGTCACCACTGGATCATGTCACTGACAGTAACACAAGATGGATGCTTTCCTTAGAGGAGACAATGCATTTCTAAAGTGGTGCTCGATAAAGAAGGAAGTTGTTCTCAGAATCTTACCAGAGCATATTTCATTTTGAGTTTTTAGGCAGCATGTCTCAAATGTACCTCCATGCCTTCAGGCAACTTGAAAGTTGAGGTTGGTCAAATTTTGGAATGAATAAGACAGTATCTTCATGGAGTGTTAAATCCATAGCAGTGATGTCATTGTTTGAATAATCATCTCTAAATAATCAAATATATTATATTTGGCTTTTGTCTGTTATTAATGAAATTGTTCTTGATTTCAAAGAATTGGACAGGGTTGCCTTGAGTGACATTTAGTGTTTGAATGTTAATGGGATATTAATTACCCACATGAAGTAAGGCATTTGTTTCTGGAGAAAACATGGCGTGCACTTCTTGACTGGGTCCCCTGTTTATCTGTTCAGCGTCCTCCTGACACATTCCCATATGTTCCCTTTCTCCATATCAAACCCAGGCCTTCCCTGAAAAGCCCATGGTCTCTATTCTCAGTGCTTTTTCCCAGACCTTGCTGATCTTTCTGCCTGGATATTCTTCTTCACTGCTTGGCCACATTCTACTTCTTGAAGGTTCAGCTTCAAACTTTTGGAGATTCTTTTATTCATTCATTTGCTTATTCACTAAATCATTTAACATTTACTGAATATTTATAATGTGCTACACATTTTTTTAGGTATTGAGGATACAAAAGACATAATCCTAAATACCTTCAAGTGCCTTCTAGACAGACACAGGACTGGAGTTTGCATACAACTATGCTGTTGTGCAGTAGGGTTTATGCAGGTATTCCAGGAGTGCTGAAGAGAGATGTCAAACCACCTGGGGAGGCAAGGAAGGGTCATTTCCTCTGGTACAGGCCTGGCCATCATTAATTCAGTTAGAGTGTCCTCTCCATATGCATGCCCAGTGTGGCACTTAGCACACATACTGTGTTGCTTTCTACCCCCATTCACCAAATCTACCCCCTCCTGCCAGCACAGTGTGGCATATAGCAGGCATCCTGTGTCCACCTATGTTTTGGTTCTTTTAACTGGCATTTAGTTTGATTTCTTTTCAGACTTTGGTTAATATTCTAACTACTTTAGAAAAATATTTGAGGTGGTTTTCAGTAAAAATACACAGGACCATTAAAAATAAAATTAGAAAGAGGGATCAACTAGAGGAAGGCAGGGGAGTGATGCCACGGAGAGTTTGTTTACAGGTGTGTGGGTTGCTCTGAGCCGCCTGGCAGTCAGACTGCTCTGTCATACCCTTGCCGTGGTCTCTGAAATTGGGTAGCTTATTTTAATGTTAGTTGATGCATTAGTAAAAAAAACAAATTTATCAACTGAAGCAGAATATGGGCTGATAAAATTTTCAAACACTAGGTCTTCTATAGTTTGTAGAAAATTGGGCATCACATGCTTTGAATTCTAGAGTCCACTGTTCACGGCCTACAAGCCCTCACTAAGCCCTGAAATCAAGGTATTCTATCTTCTGTGTGAAGAATCCAAGAAAGCTGTTGGTTGGTGGTTTTTAATTTCCATCGAGTCTCTTCTCCTTCCATTTCTGAGCCCTATTCTCAGCTGCACTACTTCTTCCTATGCAAAACACGGGAAGGTTCCTTGATCTTTAGTAGTTGAGTGTGTAAATTGATATATACCTTAAATTGGTCTCATTAGGTACATTAGATGATGCTCAGCAAATGACTGGAAGAAAATGTGTTCTCACTAGCTCTTAGAAGCTCAGGTTGTGGTCCCGATCTGCTCACTTCCTGTTGATGGTTCTTCTGGAACAAAGTGACTAGAGGGGAGGGACCTTGCCCTGCATGGGGGAGGAAGATGAGTCAGCCAGCCCACATCTGGTAGGTGGCCCTTGTGTGGCACTGGGATCTGAACTCCACCCCCACTGCCACTGCTCACAGTGTGCCCTGTGATTGGCTTCACTGTGTTCTTTTACAGACCTACCCTTAAGGTTCCTTCAGTGAAGACCAACTGGGATTCTATTTTAGCTGACATAGAACCTCACAGTCTGTACCGTAGATGAGTAAAAGGTAAAAGTCCCATATTTAATGATACCGTAAGTATGTTAAATTCCTCTGCAAAGTTTTGTATCCATCAGTTGTTTTGAATGAGGTCCACTTAATGTTGTTCCATTTCAGTGATGTCTTAATTTTTATGTTATTTCACTAATTGTGTATCACTGTGGAATCTTTAATAGCATTGATTAAATCCTGGCATTATTCCTAAGAGTATTCCATAAAATACATATTTGTTTAACGTTTTCATAGATAATACATTCACAGAGTTTCAACTTCAAAAGGTACGAAAGGTTAAACAATAAAATATCCTTCTTCCACTCTCCTCTGACACCCATTTCTTTCCTTTGATGCAGTCAGTTTCATATGTTTTTAAATATCTTTTCAGAAATAAGTTATGCATCTGTAAAGCAAATTCTCTTTTTACAGAAATGGTAAAAGCACTATGCACACTGTTCTACTCCTTGTTTCTTTCATGTAACAATATGTTTTGGAGTGCATTCTCTATTTGTACATAAAACCTTCTTCAATCTTATTCTACCGTGTGGTGTGCTGTATTATTTATTAACAGTTTCTTGATGGATATTTTTGTTTATTTCCAACTTTTTTATCTTACAAACAGTATTATAAGAAAAAGTTTCTGTATATGTCATCTCACATGTTTGAGAATATTCCTCTATAATAAATTCCCAGAAATATAATTGCCAGATCAAAAGATACATGTATTAGTAATTTACATGTATATTACCAAATTGCTTTATAGAAATGTTATCAATTTACACTCTTGCCAGCAATATAGGAGAATGAGTGACTGATTTCCCATTCTCTCTCCTACACATGGTGTTGTCTAATTTTTTATCACTGCCAATTAGAGGGATGAAAAATAATATAACTTTGTTTGACATTTGTCTCATTTTAAGAGAGGTCAAGCCTTTTCTATGAATGTTTGAAGGCCATTTATACATTCTTTCTTTTTCTTTCACATTTTCCTACTCTGTTTTTGGCCCATTCCTAGTTGATTTTTAAAAGCATTGCATAATAAGAAAAATTAGCATTTTTCTGTATGTAAAATGCAGTTATTTTCCCCAAGTTTAAAGGAAACTTGCTTATAGTGGTTCTTATTCATGCAGAACTTTTTATAATTAAAATGTCTAAAAGTTATAAATTTGTTTAATCCCTCCTAGATTATGTGACACACCTTTAAAAAGCCTCCCCATTGGAAGATTATTAATAATTATTCTATGTTTTTTTCTAGAAATTTATGGATATACAGATATTCGTGTGGAATAGATAGATGTATAGATAGATGTGAGATATATATGACAAACATATTTTTAAGGATTATATATTATAAGGTTTTAAAAATGTGTGGTACAATATGCATAAAATAAAATTTATCATTTTAGCCACTTTAAAGTCTACCATTCAGTGTCACTAAGTACATTAACAATGTTTGTAACCATCACTACTCTCTTGTTCCAGAAATTTTCTATCAGCCACAAAAGAAACTACATACATATTAAGCAGTCACTCCTCATTTACCCCTCTCTCCCTCCTCAGGCAACCACCAATCTGCTTTCTGACTCTAGGGATTTGCTTATTCTGGGCATTTCATATAAATGGAGTCGTATAATTTCTGGCTCTTTGTGGCTGACTTTTTTCAGTTAGCACAATTTATCAAGCTTCATCCATGTAGTAGCATGTGTCAGAACTTCATTCATTTTTATGGCTGAATAATATTCCATCATATAGATAGAGCACATTTTACCCATTCATCAGTTGGTGGACATTTGGTTGTTTCCACCTTTTGGCTATGTGAAGAGTGTTCCTATGAACAGTTATGTATGTTTTTTTGAACTCTTGTTTTGAAGTCTCCTGGGTATATGCTTAGGAGGAGAGTTGCTGGGTCATATGGTAATTCTGTGTTTGCTTTGTTGAGGAACCACCAAACTGATATAGCAGGAACTTTTCAAAGCCCCTAGCTTTTCCTCCCCGGCTCTCAGTGTGTCTGTTGTTTGCCCCACTGTTCCTCTCTGCTCCAGATGGCAGAGGCTTGTTCACTTATCTTTCAGTGTTTTGGGGAAGATTTCTCACTTACCCACTCAGCCCTGGTCACTCTGAGTTAGGCAAAACAAAGGGAGCCCTTGCTTCAGTCCTTAGGGAAATCCAGTTAGGTCACAGCAGAAAGACGCACAGAACTCCTTGAGAACAAAATCAAGTCTACTTCCTCCGGAACGAGGTACCCCCTCCAGGAATACGAACTGTCATCTTCAAGTGTGCCACCATTCCAGGCGGGGGAATGAGACTGGGATAAAGTAGGTTGCAATGATGTTCTCCTACCCAGATTCAGTCACCATTCTCTTGGCTAAGTTTTTGCTTGGTTGTAAACCTTTGACTATCTCCTAGAGTTCAGTAAGGTTGACTTGACATTTTTGGTTATTTTTTTGTGTGCTTCTGGGGAGGGATGGGCTCCCAGAATTCCATATACTGCCATCTACTCTGTATAAGTTTTTAAAAACTCAAATAATTTCTGTCCTGGAGTCCTAGAGTACCAACAGAGTACACGTCTTGGTTGGATTGGCTGATGAGTCACCTCCGTCCCTCTGCTCATGGCTGACAGTTTCCCATACCCTTAGGGTTAGTACTTAGATAATTTCTCCAGGTCAATTAATAAGATTGAGTTTTTAATCACAGTCCTCATTGTTTATGTATGAAGACATTAAGATAGTAACTTGATGTCAGTAAGATTTTGGTCCTGTCATCAGTTGATGATTTAAGCTCAAAATGAGATTTGTCTTTCAGACTTCTTACATCAAGATGGACGCCAGTCTCGGGTTCCCCCTTTCTAATCTCTTCACCTTTTTTTAACCAAATAGTGTGAGCCTAATATTCCTAGTCATAGTTCCAGTCATGGCATTCACGTACACAAAAATTTAGAAGAGGAAAAAGGGTGACTTGTCATACTAGCTATAGAAACGAACCATGTGCTGTGGAGTTAAGACAATTTATCACTGGCTGAGAAATAAGCAGATGTGTCAGTGAAACAGTATAGAGAGAGCAGAAAAGACTTAGGTGCCTGTGCAAGCTTTGTATGATAATACTTCGCCTTTCAAATCTGTGGGGAAATGCATAGGGAAAAGAACCATATTTCATACCATGGGGCAGATGGATTCAAGACTAGAGTAGAGAGTAAAGTACTAGAAATAAACACAATGTTGGGGCTGACCCTGTGGCCAAGTGGTTAAGTTTGTGCACTCCGCTGCAGCGGTCCAGGGTTTTGCTGGTTCGGATCCTGGGCACAGACATGGCACTGCTCGTCAGGCCATGTTGAGGTGGCGTCCCACATGCCACAACTAGAAGGACCTGCAACTAGGATATACAACTATGTATGGGGGAGATTTGGGGAGATAAAGCAGAAAAAAAAAAGATTGGCAACAGTTCTTAGCTCAGGTGCCAATCTTTAAAAAAAAAACAATGTCAAGCTATGGTACTGGGGAGGCAAAGGGCTTTCTAAGCATTAGTCTTAAGGCAAAAGTCATAAAGGAAATAAATCCATGCATTTGGATTAAAAAAGAAAGATAACTTTTGTATGGTAAAACATCATAAAGTTAAAAAAGCAAATTACAAACTGTGAAATATGCTTGTATCATGTGTCAGAAAAAGATTTTATTTGTAGATATAGAAAAAGCTCTCAGATATAGAGTGGTGTAAATATTAAATCTATAATCAAAATATATGTTTATATCGATATATGAGGGAAAAATAAATCTGCCATTAGAAAAATTAGTAAAAGAAACGGCCAAGAAATTCATAAAAAAGGAAAAAACAAAGACCAGCAAACACCTGAAAAATGTTCAGTCTCATTACTAATCAAAGAAATGCAAAAAAGTGTATAGCAATGAGATACCATTTCCCTCCATCAAATGACAAAAATACAAAGGGATGATAATGCCTCGTATTTGTGATAAGGAAGCTCATTTCTCTACCACTAGGAGAATTACAAATTGGTACAACTTTTCTGAAGGATACTGCAACTAGATGTATCAAAGGCCTTATCAAACAGCTAAAGTGCCATACACTTTATCTGGCACTTTACACTTACAGGAGATGTTCTAAGAAAATAATTATTGATATATGCACAGATTTAGCTGTGATGATGTTAACTGTGTTGTAGCCTAATTACCGTATAGAAAGTTTGAAGAATCATATAAGTCGAGGTTGGGGTTTAGTTGGTTCAACAGTGAAACATACATACACTGGAATACTATCCATTCATCAAAAACAAAGTGTTTTTCTTGAAACAGATGTTCCCAGTACATGATGAAAATAAAAGTAGTTTACAAAATACTCTCTTCAGTAAGACCATAAAACCCAATTTTTATTAATGTATATATATTTATGTATAATACGAAGTATATAATAGAATATTAGCACATATTGTTAAGTAAAAGCTATCTGGAAAAGTCAACTCTAAAATACATTAAAATGAACATTTTCTGAAAGGTGTGACTATGGGTTATGTTTATATTCTTCTTCTTGCTTATTTTTTTTTTTTAAGATTTTATTTTTTCCTTTTTCTCCCCAAAGCCCCCCAGTACATAGTTGTATATTCTTCATTGTAGGTTCTTCTAGTTGTGGTATGTGGGATGCTGCCTCAGCGTGGTTTGATGAGCAGTGCCATGTCCGCGCCCAGGATTCGAACCAACGAAACACTGGGCCGCCTGAAGTGGAGCGCGCGAACTTAACCACTCGGCCACGGGGCCAGCCCCTCTTCTTGCTTATTTGTAACTTCTGAGTATTTTACAATATGTATGTATTGTGTAATAAATCTAAGAATAACTGTTTATTTAAAAAAATGAAATCTTGATAACTCTGTCTACTACCTGTGAAGTAAGTGAAAACTCCCAGGACTGTCACTTAAGGCTCTCTGCCATGTGTCCCTAAACTACATTTTCAATTTTATTGTCTATTATTTCCCTATATAATGAAATCAGATCATGTTACCTCCCTGACTGAAACCTTGAGTGGTTTCCCATCACACTTAGAGTTGAATTTACTTCAATCATCTTTATAGGCTCAGTGTCATCTGGCCTGCCTCCTTCTCCACCTTATCTTGAGCAAGTGTCCTGTTCTCCCTGTTCCACCACTGTGCTGGCTGCCTTTTGGTTGTGTCAGTGGACGGAGCTCTTTCCCCACAGAGCTCCACTCTGGATCTGCCTGAGTCCTACTAATCCTTAATGTGACTTCCTCGGTGATGACCCTGGACACCCAACTTAACCTTCCTTTATTCATTCTAATTTTCTCTTTCATCACAATCTGTTATTTTCATTTAGAGCAGTTAGTTAATACAATCACTGTTATACATTTATTAGTGTGTTGACTTGACTAGTATCTGTCTTCCTCGTTAGACTTTGCTCTGTGAGGGAAGGGACCTACGTTAGTTTTTCTTCACCACTCTATAGACAGTGGTTAGAATAGTGCCAGATACATAACAGACATTTACACATTTACTGACTTAATGAGTGAATGAACATG